AGGCCAGCTGAACTGCTCTTCGAAGTGTTCGGCCCATCTTTCCAGTCGACGTTTTTGCGAGTGAATTAATGAGCCATCTTTTTCACTTATCGTTTCGCTGACCGTCGCTTTCCTAGGGCCAGTCGATCGTATCAGTTGATAAAGGACACGGCTGTTTCCCGTAGCAAAAGCCTTCTCCATCTCCCGAGCTTTCGATGTCCACCAGAGCTCTCGGTCTTTCCTTAGACTCTTCTCTATTTGGAGCCAGACCTGATAGTTTCATTTAATTTCTGACTTGATGAGCTCATTGAAAGGCGTTGTTGGAGTCCAGACAGGTATTCCGAAAGGAACTGCAGACAGTGATCGGCTTTGGTGAGCGGTAAACGAGGGCCATGTGGTCCATTTGGATTCGGGACTGGCATGATGGTAGGCACCAAATCCGAAACATCTGAAACAGGCACTTTCTGTAGGCCACATTTCCGACATGGGACGATCGCCCATTCGGGCATCAACAGCGTTTAGCATACCTGCCCGAACTTTCATATCACGGGCAAACACGACTAAGTCCGAGCGGCATTCTGTCGTCTGTATCGAGTGGAATACCCCTACTAACCCCATGAGCACTACATGGTAAAATTGGCACGTGCGGAATTGGCTTGTATTATCCTGCTCACCGAATTGTAATTGAAATGTCCTTAAGAATACTGTGTCGAAGGCAATTTTATCCGCCGATCCTACCGAACAAGGTTTCCACACTTAACGGCCGAAGAGAGCCTTAAACGCACTTTCCCTAATTCGGTTTCCGCACAAAACTTCATGTTTAGAAGACAACTTGGAAAAGTGAAGTTTGTTTCTGCAGGAACACCAAAGGCACTTTTTACATAAGGGGAAGTTCACTTCTTCTTAGCACCACCAAGAGGTTGTCCTTTGTCCTTTCCTCTGAGTTTCACGCCAAGAGCTTTCTCAATCTTCGAAAGAATTAGCTGGTTCTTTACAGCTCTTCCTTGCTCGTAGTCGGAAATGACCTAAAGAGTAAACAACTCGGAGACAACTCGACTTACCTGGGGCTTCTCATTTATCCTAGTAGCTAGCTCTTTCTGAGTAAGCCCTTTATCTTGGCGCGCCTGCATGATGAGTTTGCCAACATCCATATCAACCAAATCATTGTGTAGGTTTTCCGTTTCTTGCTCTAATTTAGCGGTGTTCTTATCTATGGTACGTTGTTTGTTTTGCCCTGCAGACCATCGCTTGTGTGTTTCAATTGGATCACCCCTACGTTGCGCTGCTGAAAATGACTAGAGTTATGTGCCCATATGAGTCGTTGGGAGAATAACTCACAGAGTTAGTTTTTAGTGCGACAGGTCGGGCCTCAGCCATCGGTAGCACGCCCCGGAGACATCCGCCATTAACTGCCTCGGGTAGGGCATCAAGGTCAACCTCAGGTCAGATTCCAACGGTTTGGCTAACGGAACCATGCATTGACACACGGAATCGATAGATTTACCCAGGATTCCCTGGTCGGTTTGTTCTTGCTGTTCCGCGACTGTCATATATCTGAAAAGCACACGCAAAAAGAAGGGTGTAGCACTGCTCCTTAAGTAGCGGTCTGAGGAAGGACACAGAGTAATTGGAAGTCCGTGCTAATAATAGGGGAGAAGGTGCACCAAATCATCTGTAGAACGGCGAACGCCCTTTGGGCCGCTTTCTCATAGTGCAGTGACAGGGACATATTTGAAGGGAGCCACGTACACAAATTGTTTTTGTCATCCATCATCATAATTTCTCCAGGGGCACTCTCACCATGCACGACATAGGCCTTCTCTGAATGACATATGAACGCACTTCTTGTCATTCACAGGAGGGCGCTAATCCAACGACCACGGCTTCACAGTATATACATACATTTTGTTGGCGCTGACATCGGAACTCCAGGGTTTCAAGTCGTCCGCAAAAAAGTAGACATGGACTTGTAAGAACATATAGAAGGTCTTTGACCTATATCAGAAACAGAAGTGCCCAGAAAAACGGAGCCTCGAGGAACTCCGATGAGGACCGGAGCTGGGGAAGAGTGAAGCGAAACTACCTTCACGAAGAATGTTCTGTCTGATAGAAATGCCCTAATCCAGTGTAGAATTTTCCATTGAATCCCGTATGACTCAGGTTTACGGAGGAGCGAGGCGAGTTGAAATCGATAGAATGATTTTGATAAATAAAAAATATGACATCGGATATGAATGCATGTAGTGGTCTGGCTGCCCAGTAAGTTACTCCACTAGGAGTGCTTGGCAAAGAAGTAAAAATAACAGCGCTAGACTGAGCGTACATGTATCTGGAATGATATTCGGTAACCTTGAAGGGGGCATCAAAACAGGGTTGAAGGGGTCTCCTCGTTGAGTCATGTCGGACAAATAGAAATGGTGTAGAAGAGAGATCGGTTTAGATGTGTTCTTTGCGCGTTGATCGTCTTATCGATGTGGGACGATGTTTAGACATATGTTGCTCCAGACGGGTGACGAAAGCGACCGGCTATTCGAGCTGTGCACCAGAAGGGGAAGTTAGTTCACCGGGTAAACACGGATTCATGGGTTGATACGCAGGATCGAGACTTTTGCCCGAGCTTCTCAGGTCGGTTTTGTTCTTGTCGCTCAGCGGCTGTCGTTCACCTGAAAGGCACAAGTGAAAAAAGGGTGTAGACTGCTCAAGTTCTCAGCGCGGGGCAGTATGCTTGCCAGCGCGAGGATTCGCATAAGTAAATGTCTAATAGTGCTTTAAACTGGGTTCTAGAGGGAGCGTGGACAACCGTCGGAGGAAAGTCAGTCCACGCAACTACTACCCGAAATGAGAAGAAAATTTGTCTAATGAATGTGTGTGCTCTGAGCTTGAAAATTTCCTTACTATGTCCCCGCCGGGTGTTTTCTGGGTCAACGGTGAAACACCTGTTTGCCAAGCTTTGTTCAAAAAGGGCATAAGTAAGAGTTAGGTCTCCTCGGAGACGACGGTACTCCAGGGGAAAGAGATCAAACATCGCGAGATGCGTTTCGTAGTCCACAGATTTGAGGCCGGTAACCATTGTCGCAGCGGCTCGCTGGACACGTTCAATGAGGGTGACGTCTTTCGTGCGTCCTGAGTAGACAACTTGGTTGGCGTACTCCAGGAGCGCTCTGACGTAGGTGCCATAGAGTGTTTGGAGGTCCATGTGAGTTATACGGGAGAAGTTGCGTCGGATCATCCGTAAAATGGCGAATGCCTTTCGGGCCGATTTCTCATGGTGCAGTGAGAAGCACAAGTTTGAGGAGACCCGGATACCCAAATCCTTTTTGACATCTATCCCCGTGATGTTTTCTGATCCTTTCTTACCATGTATAACAAAGGCATTCGATGAGTTTCCTCCAAATGACATATGGACGCACTTTTCGCCATTCAGAGAAAGGTGAATTTTTACCGCATACTAGATCGGCTGGTGAACAGTGAAGTCCTCCTTAACAGTGGAGCGAACAGCAAGCAAAATAAAGAGTAGAGAAGAGAACCATGAAGATGCGTCCATCTGAGTAGCCAGTTTAGCTTTGAGGTAGCAATGGAAGCGCTCAACCATACCGTTGAAACAGATCGAAATATGATGGAAACTGAATATTGTAGGAAACTAAGGGAAGAGATTACACTGAAATTGTGAACCGCGGTCGGTAGTGACGGTGGAAGGTATGCCAATGATACTCACCCAATGCTGAAAAAACGAAAAAGATACCGTTCCAGCTGAATCATCCTAAATTGGTACAGTTACTTGCCATCGGAGAAAACGATTAAGCATGGTAAGAATATGGGTGAAACCGTTTGAAGAGGAAAGTGGAACAACAATATCAAGATGAGCCTGCATGAACCGAGCATCAGGAAGTGAAAATGAGCCAAGAAGTGAGTACGTATGCTGAGTTACTTCACTGAATTGACAGCTGATGCACCGTTTTGCTCAGGATGTTAGATCCTTATTCATGTAGGTCCGCACGAAGCTTGCGCTAATCAACTTCCTTGTTGCTCTGATTCCTGGATGAGAAACTTCGTGAAAGTGGTCATAAACAACCCGTCGTGAAGCTTCGGAGACGATTTGGCGAGTCGCGCTGGTAGACATATCACAAAAAATGGTCCAAGACTGGAGGAGAAGGGGACTGAAAAGAGCTGGAATTAAGGGAAGAATAGAATGGGCAAAATAGTATCACCATGCTGAAGGTTCAAAACTTGGCTAGGTCGATCTGCGTGGATGAGTAAAGAATGTTTTTTCCGGACAGAATAGGGCGTCTGCGACGACATTGTCGGTAGTAAATTAAGAAATATGGTCTAGATGACGTACCTAGCCTGGTGAATATCGATCAGACATGACGTTGAACGCATACGTAAGTGGCTTGTGATCGGTTTGAAGGGCGAACGATCTAACTCCTAATAAGTGCCGGAAATGGCGAATAGAAAGGTCAGTGGCGAGTAATTCATGACCAAAGGTACTTTAACGCGTTTGTGCAGCCTGCATCTTCTGCGAGAAAAAGGCTAGTGGTTGAGGTGCGTTGTTAACAACTTGATGAAGTACGGCGCCGATATGGGCATACACAAAAGGCCATCACTTAAACCTTCGTCCACGAAACGTTTCAACGTTTGTGCTGCCTTTAGAAGAATGAATGGCATACGCGTGAATTCGAAAATGCCAAACGGTGTTGTGACCCTGTTTTAGGGATGTCATCCTGGGCCAGGGTTATGTTGTAGTAGTATGCAGGTACAAGATCGAGCTTAGAGAAAATGTTTTTTGTGGCATAAGGTGCTTGCAAAATATGGGATGGGACACCCGTCTGGGGTAGTGGCGTTATTGAAAGAACGGTAATCTCCACAAGGTTTCAAATCGCCTTTAGATTTCCCGGTTGCCCTATATAGAGGTGACAACCAGTGACTCGATGAAATGCGGATGATGTTGGGTTCGAGCATTCGTTCACACTCGTGTTTTGCGATCTGGAGCTTATCCGTATAAAGTCGACGGGGTCGGTATGGGCAGAAGGACCTCTTGTCTGGATGTGGTGAACGATGGAATGGGTGACCGGTTGAGTGTACTGACACGGATGAGTAAGGGTAAAACAATCCTAAGTCGGCGAAATTGGAATCAGGAAAGACAACTCAGTTACATTTGGGTGAAGTTGAGGCATTAATTCCGTGGATTGTTAGGGAATTTGACATGTCTACGAGACGTTTGTGTCGAACGTCGACAAGCCGTCGTGGGTTATAAAGCCTGCGCCAAGGATAGGGGTTTGGACGTCGGCCAAAAAGAAAATCCACTTGAACGCACGTCGCAATCCGAGGACAGGTGCGAGAGAACGTTCGCCGTATGTGGCGATGCGAATACTGTTGGCGGCTTGCAACGAATAAGAAGCAGAAATGGGTAGTGGATTCTTATGTGGTAGCACACTTACTTTAACTCCCGTATCTATGGGGAAACATAAACCACTTGGGCGCTCGGTGATGTGGAATAGGCGGCTAGTGCGAAGAGGGCGACAGACAGTCTCCGCCGTTACTGACTGGCCAAGATGCCTAAAGAGCTGTTGGGACGCGGCTTCAAGGAAAAAGTGGTTGGTTTTTGTGTGCTTTAGGACCGAAAGAGTTGTGATACCAGCACTTAAGAAGGACGGGAACGAGATAGTTATCGGGATCGTGAAAGTGGTTTATGTTTGTCGATCTCGAGCCGTTGTAGGCAATTGGTCAGAGTATCAAATCCAGTTCGTAGTTGCAAAATGGCAGAAGGTATTGGATCGCAGCCAGTGGACGTAGTCAGTATAGGGCAGGAAACGGAGTTAACAGGATGACTGGGGTAGTTCTCGTAGGTTTTGTCCGATATTTGAGCTAGCTGCTCTAAGCTGTGGTCATCAACGAAAGCGTTGACCACACGAGACATGGAGGTGGACGTTTGTCGAGCCATGGTTGTGCCACGATTTATACCGCTAGTTTACGGCCGCAGAGAAGGCTGCGCATATTGCGAAGCAGTTGTGACGGCGACCTGTCACCAAGTTCGACTGTGGTTAATAAATCCTTTAGCATCCCGTTTTTCGACTTATCTGTCATAAGGATGATGACCGCTCGGAGAGCGTCAGCGGAATTTTCCTTGGGGATATCTTCCAACAGATCTTCTACCTCTGTTGCCACATCACTAGAAAGATGCTGGACGACATAGGAAAAACGGGTGACTTGAGAAGTGATACGTCCGGTAGTAAAAATGGCATCCACCAGGTGAAACCATACCATGGGGTCGTGGGGATTATAGTCTGGCAAACGTATGCTAATTGCATTCTCGACTAAATCCAACGAACTGAAGTGTATCTCCATAATGACCGGGCAATAAGTTACTTCACCAGGAGTGTGTGACAAAGAAGTAAAAATAACAACGCTAGACTGAGTATACAGTAATAAGCAGGTCAGATGAAACAGACTCAGCAAACATTTTTCTCTTTAAAATAGTTAGTCGTTGACCAAGGTCAACAAATAAACAATAATCCAATCATGATTGTCCAGGGGTCCTCTTCTGAACATCTCCCATATATACCAGATTCCGAAGAGGGTATGAAATGCCTTAATACTAGAGTTAGCACATGAGACTCGCGAATAGCCGCTGTGAGCGCGAGCGAAATCAGAAGGGAGAGTTGGAGCACGTGACCACGTTTGTATTGCGTGAAATTGTGCAAGTGCTCATTTTTGTATTTTTTCGTGTTCAAACAAAAAACGGTAATGCTATTGAAAAAATACGTAATGTTATGAATAAAGCAAGAGAAAGGTAGAAAACGCCGCACTTCCACAGAGCTTTTGTTACGTGTTCGTCGATTACTCGAGAATGGCTTCCACACATTGGTGTTTCTGCGTGCCATATAAGTAACAACCTACAAAATGCATAAGGACTGTAGATCGTAGATTGCAGTCCAATTCCATGGTGAAATTCTATCCTAAATCTTCGACACTTGCTCGATTACATTACGGCTTGGGGGAATGGCTTCCACACTTTGGCGGTTCTGCATGCCATATAAGTAACAACCTACGAAATGCATAAAGACTGTAGATCGCAGATTGTAGTCCAAGTCCATGGTGGAGACACTTGCTCGATTACATTACGGCTTGGATAAGTTTCATTTTCGATGAGCGTGTAACGAAGTTTCGGCTTATGAGTAACACGCTTAACGTTAAGCATCCGAGTAGCGTAATCAGTTCCTAGTCACACAGAGACCTTGGAGCTCATATGTCTAAAAATGTGCTGCGTTAATCATTGGTCTTATGGTTTTATGTTGACCTGGAAGCACCAAGTATCCGGACCACTCTAATGTTGTGTGCAAAACAGAAGAATTATGCCCCATTTCCTCACCTACTCATGACTGTTTTCAACGCAAGGCCTGGATGCATTGGTTGACGTGACGCTTGCGTTGTCAGAAAATATAAAGCTAGTCAAATGGAAATGACCAGAACCTCATTCACCCAGACTGCCTAAAAAACACGCAGGTTTCCACCGCCGCACTAACTTGAGGAGTGGATGGATTTTAAGGCAGAAAAAAATCCAACCGCCACTCACACATCCAACAAGATACAACAGTTAACAAATAATAGCTTAAACAGTAAACACAACTTACTTTCGTTTCCTCAGGAGCATTCACTTAGGGAACTCACTCTGAAATCTGGTTTTGTCTGACGAACGTAGGCAAGAGAACGTTGGTCTCTCTATCGACCTGTCAGTGTAACAGAAGCCACACGTGACAATGGTCGCATTGTACTCAGTCTATCATCAACCTTCACAGAAACTACCATATGAATTGCGGACACCGCAGACATCAGCGTTAGTATGTCGCCATTGGCTTCTTTTCACGGTGTATACTTCCCAGAAATTTGCACCTTGTGATCACGCACCATTATACACTGCAGGTAATAGTTAACATCCTGCGGATCGAAATCTTGTCTATCATAGCCACCTTGTCCTGGTGAAATCGAAGAGGAATCATTCGGGTGCACCGGCGCGTGCTGGTGTTGGAGGGGCTGGGTTGTTTGTTGCACCACACATGCGCTTCTCGGGCTAGCGTGGATGTGCCGTCACCAAAGGACGCCAAAGATGTGGGGGCTGCACCAGCACTACATGTATACACGTGTCGTGATTTCTCGAATATCGTACCAACTCAAACATGAGGTAGTCTGGTGCGGCACACTTGGTTGCTTCAAAATAATTCACACCATAAACCAGTGATTCAGTTCCAGGTGAGTCTCCCGTCAAATGAGTGTTTTGTAGTACATTATTATTGAAGACTTAGTTTGACAGTGAGCAGATATTGTGTTTTTAAAGACTTTACTAATTCATTAACTTCCAAGTCAGACAAAGAATCCGCAGTCGACTTTAATATCTTCAAAATGTCCTCCGCATTATTAAATACTTCCACGTTTTTCTCCAACCACTTTCCTTTCAGCGAACAACAAGTAACCTTTCAATCCGTAAATTGACTCTCAAGGTATAGGTCTGACAAGGTCCTGTTACAAAACCCACTTATCCCTTGTTCGAGCACACCGCTAACCTATTCATCTTGTAGCATCTTCATTGAAACATCGGTTTAACTGCACGCCTAGATATTCAAACTATCACCCCAAGTACTCAGGGAGTGCTGCTGGAAATTCGCAAATTCTACCGAATCGCAAAGTAGTTTCTGCTGTTTGGAAATAGGAACATTCTGTGGTTTTGAGGCATTTTGGCCTGCTTATCACCGGTTCTGGTGAAGCTGCTTGTTCAAGCACCAATTTACTCGCTTTCTCGTGCAATCCGACGAACAGACAGTTGTTTTCTGTCAAAGTGGTCAAAATCTGTGGCACCCTAGGGCTAGCAGTGGAATCGTATACCAGTTACCATGCCCACAAACACATGAGCAAGAAATCGAGCCACCGTAGGTTTCGCAATCCAGAAAAGGACGAAGATAATGGCATAGATAACGATCCCGCGCGAATTAAGCTCAAAAGTTTTACAACAAATAAATTCCATGAGCGATTTCTTGAATTACAGAAAGCTGTGATCCAGTGAGTCGAAATCAGACCTAAAACGGATTCTTTTATGAAAAGCACAACTAGTAAAACGCCTCATGTTAGACTCGCAGACGTGTGTAGTCAACTTCACTCTTATCAATCAAACAGACTACCCGGAATATTGGTGGTTGAATGTTTCTGAAGCTTTGCAAATATGATGCAAATATTTCGTCACAAACTTGGCCGACATCGTCAATGTACAATGGTGAAACAGTATATCGTGCTTCACTTGTTCGGTGGATAGGCTTCGAGCAACTTTGCGGCATCTGTAGTATTGCTGTCCTTCTAGGCCTCAAACCCAAGTCACCCTCAGAGCCGCTTTACTTTGGTTTCATGATGGCTCGACAATGACTGGATAATAGTTAGGTGACCACCTTCTGCTCTAAACAAATTTCACTCTGGGTAGTCCCTAGGAAGATCATCCGCTCTCAACAAGGACCAGGTTGCAAAATTGACATTTACCATTTCCCTAAATTGACACGCTAAGTGGACACATGATGTGTATGCACATCTTTTGTGGTCCCAAACATGAATTTCGAATACGGTCTCAATACACTCCAAAGCAGCCCAATAAAACCTCGAAGTGGACATTTTCAGAGAGAGTTTGCAACCACGAAGATGACATTGTAGAATTCTTTGCAGTCACAATTAAGCAGGCTGACCAAGTTTTGCGCGTGAAGGCTCAAGTTGGTGCTTCGACAAACAAAATCAGCTGTCAGTTGATTGGAGATATCTACGACAGTAAAGGAATTCAGACCACTTCACTAAAGTCTCCTGGGGTTATTAGTGAGATTGATACTTTCTCAGTTGTCAGCTGCACTTGCATTCCAAAAAGGCAAGAATACAAAGTCGTGTAAAACATCTGGCTTCGAGACTGACTGGGGACTACATAACATGATTTTCATCAGTGTGGTACATGAAGTGAGTTTTACAAATGGACAGGTCCCTCCTTGAGGAGAATAGGTAGCTCTGGCTTCCCCAGAGCAGAGGAACCATATTTCAGCGCTAAAGATCATTATTACACAGGGGCTTATACAGCAAAATCGTCTAGTGATACCACGCTCTACACACTAGTTTTATCACCAGTCAAACAACGCTGTGGTTGTATAGACCCAAGGCGGCATTAAGCAGTTTCAATAATAATGTTCCCACCGACGGACAAAGTGCTCACATCAAAGGAATTTATTACCGAAAAGGCGGAGCGCAGATTTTGCGGACCATGGAAAGGCACTGATTTAATTCCAGTTGACTTTTGTAAAATGATGGCTCTCTTCACTGTTACCAGGCTGACTGTGGATGATAAATGTGGTCTCAATAAGCCAGAGTTCATTATATTGCTCCTGGTATGAAGCGGGGTCAAAATATTCGTGCATAAGCTTCAATCTTTCTTTAAGTTGTCAAAATTTGAGGTATATACACTAGTATTTGCTCGTGCGATCTATACAAGGCGATCCTCCATGAGAGTCCGTCCCTTAGCCAAGACCTGTTGGGTCGGTCTTCATGAGTGGTTAATTCACAGAGGACTACTAAATATAGGGTATTTTGCTTCCCTCAACACATGTGAGACACGTTAAAGTTAGTTTACTCTGGCTAAGCGAGTACGGGAGACTGAAGTTTCCACACTGTCCTCTCGGTTTGACGGCGTTCCGTCCCCTGGTGCTAGACTTGGTGAAAGAATGCATTTAGTCACAGCTAAAGTGGTGGTAAGCAGCTAGTGCGACTCATCTCAGTTAACAACATGCTCTTTTATATTCGTACTGCAGTACTCATAAGGTTCCTGGAAACCTGTCGACAGTCCACGGCCGGGCTCTTCAGGTAGGCGCAGTCCCCGAGTTCCCGTCAACCTTATGTTCTACTTGAAACCAAGTTGCACGAAATTAGCACGGTCGTGGGCTGTTGAGGAATTTCCAGCAACCTTATGAGTAGTGCATTACAAATCCACATGTATCGCGATATCTCAAATATCGTGACAACTGAAACATGAGGCGGCCTAGTGTAGCACAGTCACTTGCCTGGAAACATCACAAACGAGAAATCCAGCTGGGTTCCAGGTGAGTCTCCCGACAAACCAAATTAGTTTGAAAATGAGTGTATTCCGCTAAGAGGTTCCTTTGTTTGTTTTATTAGGATGACAGCGTTGAAAAAACACAAAACATCCGTTTTTACCGTATAAAATTTCTTAGGGTAGTGATCATATCCTCTCAATACTTGTGTAGAAATTTTCTTCGCCAGTGTTTCGTGAGCGTCAATTCCAGATCGACGGTGCAGTATTCGAAAGCACAGAGGCAAACTAGGCCTGTCCTGCAGCGACTGGAATGGTTGTAGCCCTCGTTTCGAATTTCGTTTATTCAGATTTCCATACCCATTTTGTCGGTTCGACTGACTGCAATGCTGCCGCCAACGCCATCATGAGACGATTTGATCAGTAGTTGAAAGCTCCCCTGCACATCATGAAACAACAGGAACTTCACCAAGTTATTATCGCAGATGAAACTGGATTAACGTGTGAATTATACAATCCCGACTTTTGCATACTATCTGTATTCTTACTTTTGCATTTTTAATAAAAGTGCATTTCTATGAACTGCTATATGGGATTTATAGTATACGTTAATAGCGTAAAACAGATAATTGGGAATCAATGTTTCTTTAGTCGGACTGAAGAGTCCTGGTACAATGGGGCTTAGTACTACCGAGAAACTGCGGTGAGAAATAAATACTAAATGAAAAGCTGTTCACACCATCAGACCCGGAGAAAATGAATGGCGTTCGTATTAATGCATCTTGGAAAAAGGCTTTAATCTGAAAAGGTTACTACGCTTTTTAGAATGCTCCCAAAATTGTGCCGAATCCACTTCTGCTGAGTGTTTACTTGCAACCGATGGACGATGGCTACGCGGAAAGCATTATGTTGCACAGCACGAGGCGGCCAAACAATTGCGTAAGACCACGTAATCACTCAGCTGAAAATTGGCTCAGATACTTGTGAATCTTTTGTTTTTACACGTTAGCTAAGCATCGTTCTCACATTGACATTTATTGTCATGTATTCGGGAGAATGGTTAATGCTCACCAAGTGTCCACATGTCCATATATGTTGATCTATTTGTCGGTTTGCGAGTATTCCGCAAACTATATCGGACGTACAGCACGCACCAGTTCCCGGGGGTTACTCAGCAAGAGCGTTTTGATAATCAGCACCAAGTAATTAGTGCAATCGATTTCCAGCTGATCGCTGGATTATTCTGTCTGAATCCTAGAGTGGGCTCTAGCGAGTATCACCAATTCTCTCTAAGGCCACCCAAAGATGCATTCATAGTGTATTGTAATTTATTTTTGAAGGCATGGTCACGTTACTCAGCAAGAGCGTTTTGATAATCAGCACCAAGTAATTAGTGCAATCGATTTCCAGCTGATCGCTGGATTATTCTGTCTGAATCCTAGAGTGGGCTCTAGCGAGTATCACCAATTCTCTCTAAGGCCACCCAAAGATGCATTCATAGTGTATTGTAATTTATTTTTGAAGAGCATGGTCACAAACATAGAAAGTGAATGCAAGTGACGAATGCGAAAGGGTAACAGGAGAATATGAGATCAAAGAGAGAAACGTCTCATTCAAAATCATGCCAGGCAAAGTACTCCTAGTTGAACTGCCTAAACAGGCCTCCTTTCACCAGAGATATTCTGTAAAGACACTAGTGTTACCAAAGCTCACCATCCTTGAGTAAACGTCTATCCAAAATGTAACCATAAAGAGCCTCTATTTTGTAGAAAGACTACTGACTGACTTTAATGGCAAATTCAATGCAGGTTTCCTTTAAACCCTCGTATTGTTTGTATTTGAAATGACCTGATGGAACTACGTCAAAATCACTTGGATGAAATGTATGTATTCTAAGAAAAGCTTGTGATTTAGGATGACTGCAAGGACAACATGATGAAATGTGACAAAAATGAGATGCTTCGGCACCTGTGTGGAATTTAATGGCTTAGGATAAACATTAGAACAAACACCAGTAGTGATCGGGCTAAGGTTTTTACAGAAATCTTCACTTGCTTGGTAATTGTTCTAGCAGATTGCGTGAAAACCAAAAAAGTTCGCCTTACCATCTAAATGCTTGATTTAAGGGGCCTTCAACTTTCAACGGTCGCATAAGATGGAACATGAAACTTGTCCCTAGGTTTTCGTCAGGAGTATTCTGCCTAACTAAACTTGCGTTACATTCGCTAATCACCATCGCCGGGCTTGTGCATCAGGCGATAACCTGCACAAGTAGAATACTGGAAATTTCCTGTCTGATGCGTATGAAATCTTTTCTTCTTGGCATTGCCTTCGAAATCCGTGCTCCTATGAGCCAACTAGAAACTTCACTGTTGACTAAGCACACAGTCACATGAAAAATTTAGCCAACTTAAGCAGCATGTGTGATTACTGATTGGATATTACCGTTTGATTTGTTTCTATCAGCTCCTAATCTTTATAAGTTTGACCAATCATTCTCAGTATATACCAACCATATATCTCACGATTTTGCCATTGGTCTGATACCAAAAAAAAAGAAAACAAGAAGTTTGCTACACACAATAGATTTCAGCAGAAACTAAAGTTTATGTTTACAGGGATAGGTCACTAAATAAAAAATTAGTGGATTTTAAGCAGCAAAGAGTTTCAGATCACCCCGGTCTACCGTTTCTTATGGAAAACTTCTACAAACAGAATTTGGGTTAGTCAACCTCATAACCTTCATAAAAAAGATTGCAGCGCTTGAACTACGTGTGACGGTGAAACAGTGGCAGAAAATACTTTATTATCTTCATACAGTAGCATTTAGGTCACATCAATAGTTTGGAAAGCTTGCAAATTCTTATGACCCACTCTGTGTTGATCAACCTGAAATCATAAAAGTTCACTCAGTTCATATTTCGGTGATGAAAACGAAGTTGCACTGGGTAGTTTATTGGTGTCAATTTTAAATATCAAATTTCAAGATCACTTGTCTATCAAGAAGCTGGAATCCACTGCCTCATTCCCTGGCTGCCGAGTAGGAACTTTCATGGTTACTTGTAAGATATTCAGAGTAAGATGTACTCAGAATTAAAAGCCCATCTAATACCATCTGGAATCCAGTGCCAGGAAAATTACAAACTCTTATCGATGTAAAATGATTCAGGGTCGTTGCATTGGTAGTTTACATTGTGTTAAAGCTGGCCTGTAGCATGCATAACGTACCATTTTTTATACAGTGCTTAAAAATGGTTCCAGAATGCTCCGAATTTGCGTTCGACAAAAAGACGTGCAAATGAGTATTCAGTCATATCGGAAATTTGAAAGCAAATGTACGCAAGCAATTAAGATGATCACAAGACGTGTGAATGTTGCACCGTGACATGCAGCTATTTGCTTTTCCATGTTCTGCTTACCTTTTTTCCAAACGGAGACGAAGTTCACAGCACCATGGACAAAACCAGAATGACTGCTTTTTCCAAGTGGACATGTTCTGAGCATGCTTTCAGACTAGTCAGCTTCGAATCCTCATATCGCAGCTACCGGACTTCATTTCACATTGTTGCCGATCTGCTGTTTCATCAACAGAAGAAGTAAAATGTATTTTCCGTCTCGATCTTTAATGACTTTACTAACGACAACCGAATCCCCCTTACACTATAGGATATTTCTAATGAGACGTCACGTTTTACATAACTCGTTGGGTTAGAAAACGTTGATCAATGACCGAAAAACTGTGTTGCCTTTAACCGTTCTAATGCGTGTTCTCCTTAGCTGAAAGATGGCCTATACCAGAGAGGGAATCATATTTACAATAAACAATCACAGGTTTCCGAACTATGAGTTATGTTTACAACAATCGATTTCGTGAGAAATCAATGGTAGAAAGACACAAGGGTAGGAACTAGAAAATCTGGTGAGTAAAGTACGCTGCATACGATGAAAGCCGTTCAGAGTATCTCATTTGACAACAGAGAATGAGTGAGCCCACTCGCTTGCGTAGATGACCATTGTCCACCGGCAGTCTAAAGGAAGTAACAGCCACGTAATGTCTGAATGCATGCCTGTTGACATAATTTGGTCAGCTTCGGATCAATTTGATTTCCTCTTTTTATGCACCGGTGATGCTCACCACTAGTTACGGCTTACAATCAATCAATCGTTTATTGAGGGGAGGACTACCGCATTTGGCAACCGATTTGCACACTGACCTGTGTCTTAAAATTTCCAGTATCTCACAATCTATGTTTAGTTGTTATTGCACACTGTATCTTAGACAGAATAGAATATTTTGTGCATACAGAACAACTCTATTGCTTCAAGAATGATAATTTTCTGACTAAAAGTTTTACTTTGGCCATTTGCTTCCTGTATCTGCACATCACAGTGATTTTCGGAAGGCTAGTGGCTTCTTACTAGCGTCCTGAGAACAGTCTGAGCGATTAATTGTCATATAAAAGATTAATTACTATGTTGATAATCTAGAAACCAGCCTAAAGTGCCTGAGAAACAAACTTAGTGGAACGCCACAAACAAATCGCCCTAACTACTGACCATACGTAAGACCACAACCTGAGATGAAATCAATCAGCTCACAGCGATGACAAAAAATTTAGGCTGACGGGGCGTTTGGGTGTGGCCCAACATGAAGCTGATTCATTCAAGCAGTGTCGGTAATTGATGGGGAATATCACATTGTGAAATTCCTTCCGAGTGTGGTCCATGAAATATTTATAAATCACATGTAAGGATGTGTTCACGTAATTTTCAGAAACTGCCGAGGTTTTGCCCTAAATGATTTGTAATAAACAAGTAATATTTTGTTCAAGTTGGAAACAAACCGTCACTTAGCAACAACTGACAGGCTTTTTCGCGATGGATCTGCTGCGCAGTTTTCCACTAATCCAGTGAAACGACTGATTGCTATATGTTCCCTCGGAATGGGTCAGTAAACCATGGGGTAGTAATAAATATTCGAAGTTTTGAGTGAGTTGGCGTAATGGACAG